TGCTTCCTGTCCCAAGTCTAGTCTGCCTACTCCAGCAGCAAAGCTTCTGGTTTTAATGCCTCACCTTTTTAAAGTTAGCATTCTCAGCAACTAAACTGGGAGTGGGAGAATGGGAGTGGACCCAGGCAGGAAGACCACAGACTCCGAGGTTTTGATCTGAGGTCCCAGCAATTAAAAAAAATCAATAAATGAATAAATAAGTAAATAAAATTTATTCTCCTTTGGTCATTTTTCAGGGTCTTGAAATTGTTGTTTTTGATAATATTGTCCAGATTATACTTGTTTTGTGAAGAGAGGATTTACCTACCTCTTAATTCTGCTATAGCCAGAAGCCCTGTCTATATGTTTGACAATTTTTTAATTGGATGCCAGACATTTTGTATTTACCTTGTTGGTTGATGGATTTTGTTCTATCTCTTAACACTAATGATGGATTTTGCTCTGGTGCACAGTTGTTACTTGACTTCATTTGGCTTATTTTGAGGCCTACTTTTAAGTTTTGTTAAAGTAGATCCAGAGCAGCCTTTAGGCTAGAGTTAATTTAATGTAACTATTAAGATGTTGCCATTTCAAGAACTCTACTCAAGTCCTCATGTACTATGAGTTCTTTCTTTTTCCCCTTCAACTTTTATTTTAAGTTCCAAGGTGTATGTGCAGAATGTGTAGGTTTGTTACTTAGGTAAACGTGTGCCATGGTGGTTTGCTCCACAGATCAACCATCACCTAGGTATTAAGCACAGCATCCATTAGCTATTCTTCCTGATGCTCTCCCTCTGTCCACCCCCCGACAGACCCCACTGTGTGTACTTCCCCTCCATCTGTTCATGTGTTCTCATCGTTCAGCTTCCACTTAAAAGCAAGAACATGTGGTGTTTGGTTTTGTGTTAGTTTGCTGAGGATAACAACTTCCAGCTCTACCCATGTCCCTGCAAAGGCCATTATCTCATTCCTTTTATGGCTGCATAGCATTCCATGCTGTTTATGTGCCACATTTTCTTTATCCAGTCTATCATCAGTGGGCATTTGGGGTGATTCCATATCTTTGCCATTGTTAATAGTGCTGCAGTGAACGTACACATGCATTTATCTTTACAATGGAATGATTTATATTCCTTTGGGTATATACTCACTAATAGGATTGCTTCTAGATCTTTGAGGAATTGCCACACTGTCTTCTACAATGGTTGATGTAATTTATATTCCCACCAACAATGTAAAAGTGTTCCTTTTTCACCTCATCCTTGCCGGCATCAGTTGTTTCTTGACTTAAATAACTGCCATTCTGACTGTGTAAGATGTTTTGGTTTGTGTTTCTCTAATGATCAGTTACGTTGAGCTTTTTTTCATGTTTTTTGGCTGCATGAATATCTTATTTTGAGAAGTGCCTGTTCATGCCCTTTGCCTATTTTTTAATGTTTGTTTTTTTGTCTTGTAAGTTTGTTTAAGTTCCTTGTAGACTATGGATATTAGAACTTTGCCAGATGGATAGATTGCAAAAATGTTCTTCTATTCTGTGGGTTGTCTCTTTGCTCTGATGATAGTTTCTTTTGCTGCTGAGTTCTTTTTATGCTGAGCAGTAGGAATATAAACTGTCTTAGGATCTGTGAATTGTTCTGCCTACGTCTTTCAGGTGATCCTTTCCCTGGCTTAGGTTAGACTCTCTTACATGTACATAAATCAACACTCAGCCAGAGACTTCATGAGATTTCTCTGCAGACCTTTGGAGTGCACTCTCTTTCCCTGTGCTGCTCATATCGCCAGTCCTCTACTCCACAAATTCTAGCCATCTTAACCTTACCTAGCTAGATCTCTATCTATGCAAGTCACGGAGATCTGTTTGGTTTACCCTTCCCAGTAATATGAACCAGAAATGGCCTGCAAATGTAGGGCTCACCTTGTTTATTTTCCTTCTCCAAGGGACTACAGTCTTGTACTAACTATCTAAAATAGTTGTTTTATATGTTTTGTTCATTTTCCTCATCTCATAGGGAAGGAGAGTAGATCTTATCTCAGTTACTCCATTTTGGCTGGAAGTAAAAGCTAAAGAATTTTAATCAGGGAAGAGAAGTCAGTTTGTTCATGATTTGAGATTACTGTGGTTGCTTTGTAGAGAATGAATTATATGGAAGTAAGATTCAAAAAAGGAAGATCAGTTAGGAGGTTTTAAGTAGTGGTCCAGGGCAGAGATGAATGGTTGCCTGGTCTAAAGAAGTTGTGGTTAATGAAATGCAAAAAAAGAAAACAAAAGGATAGTTGAAATGTATTTTGGACATAAAATGGATAAGACCTGCTGATTATTTGGATGTAGCAGGCAATGAAGGAAAGTGAGCAAACCAGGATGACTCCTTACTAGCCTAAAGCCCAGCCAATTTTAATTTCCTTTAGCATCTTTTAAACTTATAATTTGGCTTCTTATTCTGCCTTTATCATTCTGTTCTTTGAGCTCAATTTCCTTCCTTATTTCTTGCTTCCTTCTCTGACAACAGAAAATGTTGGATGGTCAACCTTGTAACTATGGCAGAGAATGTATTAGTTATTTATCTAAGGGGCATTGAAGCCCAAGTAGAGACAACTGATTCAGTGGCCCATGTCAAATGGCCCCAGATAGTAGAAGAGGACTCAATAGAACCAAATCAGGTAGGATGTATAGGATCCACTATTAAAATTCAATCAACAAGATTTCAGACAAGCAAATAAAGATTTCGAATAGGTCTCACTTTAAGGAGTGTTCCCAAAAAGGACAGGGTTCTTCCACTGATTGAGGCTTTAGCTGGGGAAAGCTCAGAGCCATGTGGTTGGCCCTATCCTGGGGCTGACAGTCATAGCAAGCATAACTTTCCTAGATATGAGGTGTTTTCCTGTTTATCCCAGTAGTCTGTGGTATGTGTGTTCAAAACAAGAGTCACTTCCCCTAAGAAGACTGACCTTTAATTAGAGGCTTTGTCTTTGGAGATCTCAGAGCATGGAGTACAAGAGGCCAAGGAGATATCTTAAACTTTGTGTCAATGCTAGGAACAAAGTAACCCAGTCACCCTTGAGGACTGGGCATGAGTCAGGCTGTTCCTGGGAGTCTCTGGACTTCCTCTGCAGTTCTTCTTGGTGACACATAGTTTAACATGACATTATTCTATACATTATTCTATAACTGCTTCGTTATGTCTCAGTTTTTAAATCTTCAATTAGTTTCTGAGGGCTGTCATACAAGGTACCACAAACTGGGTGGCTTAACAACAGAAATTTATTTTCTCACAGTTCTGGAGGCTGGAAGTTCAAAATCAAGGTGTCAACAGGGCCATTCCTTTTCTTCCATCAGCAAGAAACACTACTCAGGGACTGGCATACTTACTTTGTTGGACCAGTTACATCAAATCTGAAGCTACATTTTCCTATGAAACCTGTGGGGAAGAATTCTGCCTTGACTCATTTAGCTTGTTTGCTGGAATCCTTGGCATTCCTTGGCTGATAGGTGCGTCATTCCAAACTTTCTTCCTCTGTTGTCACACATACCATCTTCTCCCTCTGTCTTTGTCTCTGTACCTTTTCTCCTCTTCTTATAAGGACGCCAGTTTGTTATATTGGATTAGGAACTCACCATACTCCAGTATGTCTTCTTCTGAAATAACACATCTTTAGTAACCCTATTCGTAAATAAGGCATTGAGAATTAGGACCTTAACCCTATTCTTAAGTGAGGCACTGGGAATTAGGACCTTAACATTTCTTTCTGGGAGACACAGTTCAACCTATAAGGTTGGGGACTGTGTCTCAGACTTTCTTCACTCCAAGGAAACTTAGAGCACTTGGCAGTTTTCTGCTTTGGGTAGAGGTGAAGGAAAATTAAGGACTATGATTTCTTTTAAATAAACAGATTTAGGCTGGGCACAATGGCTCACACCTATTATCCCAGCACTTTGGAAGGCCGAGCCAGGAAGATCTCTTGAGCCCAGAAGTATGAGGTTACGGTAAACTATGATCAACGCCCCTGCACTCCAGTCTGAGCAACAGAGTAAGATCCTGTCTCTGAAAACATAAAATAAAATAAAATGAAGCAAATTTTATATAAGGATATAATATATTTAATTGTAACAGAATAATACTTTGATATTAATTGATATATGTCCCCCATGATTCTTTTTATTTATCTTATAGCCCTTCCCTTATTCTTGAGATATAGATTGTCTTAGGGAATGTTGTGGCAGAAAAATCAGAGAACAAAGGAGTGAAATTTTACCTTTTCAGTTTCAAAAGCTTAGGTCCAGAAAGAAGGCAAAAACATTTAAAATAATACTTGACTAATCAAAGATAGTTCTCCCTCCTTTCTGTCTGAGATTAGATAAAGTCTCCAGAACTGGGGGAGGAATAAAAGGAGCATCTGAGAGAAAGCAGGACCAGTTTTTTGGATCCTCAGCAGGGGTTCTGTGGCTTGCCCTCAGGTCAATTCCTGGGGAGTATGAAGGAAGCAAGATCTTCCCCAGATGGGAATAGGGATTTAGGAGAAGAGGAAGATTATATCTTGCTTTCAGGGAAGTCTTAAGACTTGTAAATTTTCCTGTCCATGTAGGATAGAAGCAGAGTTGAGTGTTTCCTCTACCTCTGAGAGGGGCACAGAAGTACCCAAGGCAGAGCCAGCCTGGTTAGGTCCCTCTAGTGGTCAGGACCAAAAGGCTGAGAATGGCTTTGGGATCAAGACCCAGCTGAATGATGGACATCTCAACACATGTAGTTATAGAAGATGACAGCTAAAGGCTTAACTCCTTTCCTTGCCTCCCCTCCTATACCTCAAACTCATGTAATCCCAAGGATATGTCCCTGAATTGACTCACTAGGTTTCTACTGCTATATGGAACAAGGCTCATAAGTTATGTTTGGTTATTAAAAAATAAAGTTAATTTCTTTCAGTCCTTAATTTGTGACCTGAGATTTATTTCAGCTACATAAAGAAAATGATCATTCTATGCTTGCAAGTTGCCTCATATTTGTAGGTGGCCAGTGGGAACTGAAACTGTTCTCTGGACAGCCAAGTGTAACATCAGCATTTTCCCAGACTACAGAAGTTATTTCTGAGATCTCACTGATTCAGCCACCAGGAAAGAGGGAAAGCAAAAAGCAAGGAGTGGAAGGGGATAAGGGTATGTGATGAAACCACGTAAATTATGTTTTAAACTTTTGACTTATTGTTCTGAAAGGGACTCTGGCCCTTTTAGAAAGGAAGTTCTAAGAAGCTCTGAAACTTGAGGTACCTGCAAAGATAACTTAGCTGTTGTTGTTGCTAAGGAACAAGTGTGTTTGAATTGTGGTATCAATGTTACCAGCTCCTGCTCAAATGGCAAAAAGTAAAGGAACGATGTAAAATCAGCAGTGGGGAAGGAACAGTTCAGTGTGATAGGCCAAGGGTTATTATTTAAAATCACCTCTTCTCTGAAAAAATATGGCCTCACATTTGAGGATCTCTTATAATTGTTCCCATAAGGTAAATACATCAGTCTCTTAATAATTTTCTTTCTGATAGAAGAGAAGAAAAAAGTAGGAAGACAGGGAAGGGAGCAGAAGCCAAGTGGCATAACTGATCTAATTAAAGGACATTTTGGAGGAAGAGGTCATAGTCAGAAGAAGCCTTTGGAATTAGACTGAGTTTTGAGTACTGGTTTTGCTACTAACTAAATGACCTGGGGCAAATAGTTTTTAATTATTCCCCCATCTTGAGTTTTCAATCTGTAAAATAGGATGTGTTGTATTAAGATCTCATGAATTTGTTATTTTGGCTCTTAATATTTATTTCTAAATCATTCATGATTTAAAAAACAAAAAACAGGGTCTTTCACTGTGGCCCAGGCTGGAGAGCAGTGGTGTGATCATAACTCGTCACAGCCTCCAACTCCTGGGTTCAAGTGATCCTTCCACCTCAGCCTCCTGAGCAGCTGGGACCACATGCATGCCCCACCACAGCGGGCTAATTTTTTTTTTTTGTGTGTGGCATCTTGGTATATTGCCCAGGCTGGTCTCAAACTCCTGAGCCCAAGCAATCCTTCTGCCTCAGCCTCCCAAAGTGCTGGGATTACAGGCGTGAGCCACTGCACTTGGCAACTTTCATTTTTATTTCAATAACTCAATGTGGTAGGTAGCCTGTGAAGTGGTCCCTAAAAATCCCCATTTCCTGATATTCACACTCTTGTGTAATCTCTTCTCCTTGAGTATGGGGTGGACCTAGTGACTTGCTTCTAATGAACAGACTATAGCAGAAATAATGGGACAACACTTCCTATATCAGGTTATAAAATGACTATCACTCCTTCCTTCCTTCCTTCCTTCCTTCCTTCCTTCCTTCCTTCCTTCCTCTTTCTTTCTCTTTTTTCTACCGACTCCTCTCTTTCTTTCCTTTTCTTTTTCTCTTTCTTTCCTTTTCTTTTTGTCTTTCTCTTGGATCACTTGCACTGAGGGAAGCATGCTGTCATGTTGAGAGCAATTCTGTGGATATGCCCATGTGTTATGGTGAGGAACTGAGGCCCTCAGAAAAACAGCCTAGAGAAACTGAAGCCTGCAGACAATCAGGTGAATAAGTTTGGAGGTGAATCCTTCATCTACAATCATGTCTTGAGAAAACTGCAGACTCAAGTAACAGCTTAGCTACAAACCCGTCTTTGAGCCAGAGGCACCCAGGTAAGCCACTCCCAGACTCTTGACCATAGAAACTGAGTGGTAATAAATATTTCGTTTTTTAGCTTCTAAGTTTCAAGAATAATTTGTTATGCAGCAATAGAGAACTATAACATGGCTCAGGTCCATCTCACAGTGGGCCCAGTGTGTCCTGATATCATTGTGCATTTATTTTCCTAGTTCCATAATGCATAATTAGAATAGACACACTAAGTAACTAGCAAAATCCTCATAGTGGTTTCCTGACCCCTGGAATGAGGGCTATAATGGTAGGAAAGACCAAGTGGAAGCCATTAGAGATGTCTCTATTCACAAAAACACTAAACTAAAAGTAATACTGCATTCTTGGAGGAATAAAAGAGATTGGTGGCACTGAAAGGTATTGAAAGATGCAGAGGCTATGATTCAACCAGACTGACAATAGACTACTTAATCAGGTGTGACTCCTATTGTAGTTGTTTTTCTAGATGTAGTTTTGTTGCTGCAGCAAATGAATAAATCCCTGGTATGTAGCTATTAATCTGGCACATGTTTTATCTTTACACCTGTTAGTAAAGACCATCAAAAGAAGTTGACCTTCATCTGGCAAGATGGCAATAATATGTCCTACCTCAGGTGTATATCAACTTTTAGCCTATTGTCATAATCTGGTCTGCAAAGACCTTGATTTACTTTCCTCTTTCATGGACCATCCTTACATTGAGGATACTATGCTTATTGGAAATGGTGAGCAGAAAGTAGCAACTACTTTAGACACGTCGATAAGACATTTGGGTGCCAGAGAGTGAAGAAGATAAATCCCACAGAAATTTGAGGATCTGCTACTTTGGTGAAAGTTCTAGGGGTCCAATGATCCGATATATGAAGGGATTTCTCTTTGACAGTGAAGGTCGAGTTGCTGTGTCAAGCTTCTGTTGCTACTAAGAAAGAGGCATGGTGCCTACTGGGTCTCTTTAGCATTTGAAGGCAATATATTTCTCATTTGCACATACTACTTTTACTAATTTACTTAGTGACCTAAAAAGCTGCTTGTTTTATGTAGGTCCCAGAGTAAGAGTAGGCTCTACAACAGCCCAAGCTGACACGCAAGCTCTTCTGCCAACTGGATCATGTGATTCAGAAGACCTGAAGGTACTGGTAGTATTAGTGGTTCATAGGGATGCTGTTGGGAGCCTTTGGCAGGCTGCTATAAGTGAATCACAGCAGAGACCCTTAGAATTTTTTGGCAAAGCCATACCATTCTCTGGGGGTGACTATTTTCCTTTTAAGAAACAGCTTTTGACTTGCTACTGGGCTTCAGAGGCTGAACATATGACCCCGAGCTAACAAAGTTACCATGTAGCCTGCGCTGCCCATTGTAGGTATTGTCTGCCCTACTAAGCCATAAAGTTGGATATGGACAGCAGCAGGCCATTATCAAATGGAAGTGGTATCAATAAGATACAAGTTAAGCAGGTCTTGGAGGCACAAGTAATTTGCATTAGGAAGTAGCTCAGATGCCAATGTCTTCTACTGATGCTACATTTACTTCTTTCTCTCAGCCACACTTACGGCCTCATGGGGAGTTCCCCACAATCAGTTGACTGAGGAAGAAAACATTTGAAGTTTGTTTACAACCCATTCTTCATGATATTCAGGTACCCCCTGGAAGTGGATCCTGTAACACTATAATCCCACTTTGGGACAGCCCTGAACGACTGTATTAAAGGGAAATATTTCCTGTAAGGTGGGATTTTGAACAGGATATGTGGTTTTTTATTTTTTCTAGGATGATAAGTGGCTAGACATATGCGTCTACATCAGTTCATAGGTGTGGCTAACGGTTTGCCTGGATGGTCAGGGACTTGGAAGGCACAATTGGAAAACTGATATGTGGAGAAGAGATTATGTGAATAGATCTCTGCAAATGGAAACAGAATCTGAAGATGTTTGTGACCCACATGAGTGGGTTATGCTGGGCTCAGCATCATGAACTTTCACTCGCCAGGGCCTATTTACACACAATCTCTGTTAAAGGCAGAGACCAAATCCAGCCCCCAACATGGCACTGTTCCCTGGGGCAATCAACCAGCTACCTGGTGGCAGGTTGATTACATTGGTCTGCTTCCATCACAGAAGGGATAGCACTTTGTTCTTACTCAATATGGAATTGCCTTTTCTGCTTGAAATGCTTCAGCCAAAACTACCATTTTGAACTGTCAAAATACTTTATCCAAATATTAATTTACACAGCATCACCTTTGACCAAGAAACTCACCTCACAGCAAATGAAGTGAGGCAATGGATTCATGTTCATATAATTGACTAGTCTTACCATGTTACCCATTATTCTGAAGCAATTGATGTGTTAAAATGGTAGAATAGCCTTTTAAAGGCTCAGTTACAGCACTAGCTGGGTGGCAACACTTTTTGAGGCAGGGTCAAGGTCCCTCAGGTTGTCGTTAATGTTCTAAATCAATGTCCATTATATAGTGCTATTTCTACCATAGCAAGCTGCACAAGTCTAGCAAGCAAAAGGTAGAAATGGAAGTTGTTGTTCTCATGATCACCTCTAGTGATCCACTAGCACAATTTTTTTTTGTCCCCACAATTTCAGGCTCTTCGGCTCTAGAAATCTTAGTTCCAAAGGAAGAAATGCTTCCATCAGGGGTACAACAATGATTCCATTGAACTCACAGTTGAGAAGACTGCCACTTGGCCCCTTTGAGCTCCTAATGCCACTGAATCTACAGGCATATAAAGAAAGGGGTTATTGCACTGGCTGTGGTGACTGATCTTAACTATCAAGGGAAAATTAAGTTGTTACCATGGAATGGCTATGTCTAGAATGCAGGACACCCTCTAGGAAAACTTTTAGTATACTCGTATTTTGTGATTATTAAGTCAGTGTAAAACTACAATAACCTCCAATTCAAGCAAAACTGTTAATGGTCCAGACCCTTTAGGAATAAATTTGGAAATAGAGAAGGAACTGTGACTAGTTACGGGGCTTGTTAAGAAAATATGAATGGGTAGTAGAGGAAGGCAGTCATAAATACCAGCTATGACCACATGACCATTGCAGAAAAGTGGACTATAATAGTTATGGGCTGGGCACGGTGGCTCACGCCTGTAATCCCATCACTTTGGGAGGCTGAGGCAGGTGGATCACCTGAGGTCCAGAGATCAAGACCATCCTGGCCAACATGGCAAAACCCTGTCTCTATTAAAAATACAAAAAAATTAGCCCGGTGTGGTGATGTACACCCTCAGGAGGCTGAGGCAGGAGAATTGCTCGAATTCAGGAGGGAGGTGGAGATTGCAGTGAGCTGAGATCGCACCACTGCACTCCAGCCTGGGTGACAGAGTGAGACTCTGTCTCAGAAAAAAAAAAGTTATGAATACTTACTTTGATGTGCATATTATGTACATATTAACCAAATATTATTGTTTTCTTACTTCTCATCTCCTTATCTAATATAACATATGCTAAGTTAACTTTATATCTCAATACTTAAGTTACAAAATATCAAAAGATGACACGTGAATCAGTTAGGAGAAGAATAAAAGATTACACAATCAAAAAGAGGACTTTTTATTCTCTTTTGGTAAAAGAATTAACGCAGGGTTCAATAAACTATGGCTCATGGGTTGGTCATCTATTTTTATAAATAAGTTTTTATTGGGACACAGTCATGTTCATTCATTTATGCACTTTCTATGGCTGCTTTCATGATACAATACTAGCATTGAATAGTTGCAGAAGAAACCATGTGACCTATAAAACCTAAAATATTTGCTATCTGGCTCTTTAAGAAAAAGTCTCTGACCCCTAAGTGACCATAATTTTGGTTGCATGGTGATAACTGTATTATGTTAGGCAGAAGCATGACTTCATTATTTTCTTTATTTGGAGGTTAAGTGTGGAGATATGTATGACTGCAGACTTGGCAAAGGATAGACTAAGGTGGCTTTGTAATGTGTAGCCTTGATTAGGCTGAACTACATTTCCCAGAATTTCCTTTCTTGAATGTTTCCAGTTAGGCTGTATTTCAAGAGAGATTCCCTTGGGCTATTCGGAGACTGTAAATGAAGCAATAGCCATTTTGAAACTCACATACCTTGTCTGTTTCCTTGTTGATGTGAGGCAGTAGCCAGGACTGGAATTGCTCCATTTTCCCCTGGATCCTCCTTCAGCTTCTCTGACTCCTGGGCCAGGAGTGTGTATGTGTGTGCCTGTGTGTGTGTGTGTTTGTGTGCGCGTGTGTGCTCACGCTTAGTTTCATGACAAAGGGCCCTGGCTTCTTTATGACCAAGGTCAGAGGCAACAAGAATAAACACAAGTTTTTGCCTGTCCTATTGGCTCAAGCTTGTGCTTGTGGGTTTCAGCTTGTTCTTGCTCTCCCTACTTTACATCTTGACTGCCTGCCCTGAGGACTTCCAGCTCCAGCATCAGATGCAATGACAATACCCTTACAGAGACTGGTATTTAACCAGCAACCACTACTGCATGAGGTAAAATCTCTATAACACATTTATATATTTCTTAAGGGGTCATTGTCTTTGATAAAACCCTGACTGATACATGTAATAAACATTTATGAAAAGGCATTTAAATGTTCTAAGTAGACTGATTTTTTTTGCTATCCTCTTGTTGTTAATTTCTAAGTTTTATTGCATTTTGTTCAATAGATACACTTATTTTGAATGCTGCTTTTTGGAGTTTATGAACATTTTCTTTATGGCCTAATACATGGTTAGTTGGAACTCTTTCCACATATGTTTCTGAACAATGTATAATCTCTGTAGAGTGCAAAGTTCTATATAACTTGTTACCATGTTATATTAACTCTTGCTATACTTAGTTAATTTTGGGTATTTTAAATCTGTTATAAAGAATTGTGTTAACTTCTAACATGAGTGTCATTCTGTCAATTTCTCCCTGTAAAATGCTAGAAACTTTTCATATGTTTTTGAAAATATATTGGCAGGTGCATGGAAGTTCATGACTAATATCATTTCTTGGTGGACTGCATATTTTATCAATATGAAATACCCATTTTTATCCCTTTTAATGTTTTTATACCATATTAGTATTTTCTATTCCTATTGAATTAATAATTGAGATAATATATAACGTGTTTGGTCTCTCACGTCTGACAATAATAAGCAGGTAATAAATAGAGGCTGCTATTATTATTGTTATCCTTATAAGAAATATTCTATGTCCCACAGTGTGTAGATTAGTCTCTTTGGGAGAAAAAGAGGGAAAGAAAGGACTGAAGGACTTCAGGTTAAGAAAGAGAGTAACTGCCTCTCGGGCACTGTACAATGATGCTTAGAGTTTCTTCTCCTCTAAACCAGGTGATGGAAACTCCAGGAAAGAGAGCCCCAGGCTTGGGCAAATCACCAGAAAGCCTGCCTAAAGAGTCCTCTTAGGCAGCCAAGAGAATACAGTAGAAACATTTTTTTGTTGGATCTTGGCCTTTTTGCTTTAGAGGCCCAGCTGAAACTAGGAAGGGTAAAAGCAAAACAAGGTCAGACCCAGTAATAAATGTGTTCCTGTGGTTAGAAGGTCAGAATTATCTCTTTAGAGATCCTTTTGAATTCACATATACATAATTTTTCTAATTCTGATAACAACCCTCTGACACAGGACTGATGCCCTTCATTTCCAGATGAGGAAACTGGTGTTCACAGAGGCAAGAGATGTGATCAAAGTCACAGAGCCAGTCAATGCAGAGCCAGGGTTTGAGTGCAGCTACAGCCCCCAAATCCACTCTTTCCACTCTGCTGTGCTGCTTCTCAAAGCAGCTCTCAGTAAGTCATCCTGGTGAAGGGCAATGAATTTGGGGTCAGGTGCAACCTTCAGCAAGAGCTAAGATAAAACTGCAAAATAGAGAGGAAGCCACAAAAGAAATAAAAATGTTTGGAAATGTTGGAGAAAGGTTCAGGCCATGTTGAAGCTACTCCCTGAACTCGGTGCCTTTTTCCAAATGGACAAAATTGTGATGGGAGACTCAACGATAATTACTCTGAATGATGTTTCTCGGGTCTAAAGAGATGGAATGCACTGGGGATTCTCTCAGCCTTGCCATTTGAGAATGGAGAATCAGGGAGAAAGAGAAGGGCTGGAATTAGAAATTCAAATGCAATCTGATGAAACCACTTTCTACTTCACAGTTATTAACCCCAAGCTGGCTCATTCCTCTAAATCTTGAGCCAGTCTTAAATGTATTATACATTAAGCACCAGAAATTACTAATCTCCCTTTCCATATGGCCAGTACATCTCCCCACCACTGGAATGCAAGAGGCAATAAATGCTAAATAAGACATTTCTTTAGGGAAGACCAAGAGTAAACACATTCTAAAGATGGGGCAGGAGTGATGAGTAACCTTGTAAAAAATGGAGACCCAGTGCAGGAAAGAAACAGGTTGCTTTGAAGGATCTATTAGGGATTTTTTTTTTTTTTAAACTAGGGAAGTTCGCCCCAGGCACATTCACTCAAATAATAAAATGAGAATGGTGTTTGCAAGAATTTAAAAAGATCCTTAAACTCCTTTCTAGTCAGAATAGATTATTACAAAATGTTCAAGATAGCTCTTCAGAATTTCATTTGATAACCTTGACATGAATTTAAAGCAAAGCCTTAAAAG